TATTAATTAATAAATTAAAATTAATTAATAACTTAATATTTTAAACACTATTTATAAAAAATAAAAATTAATAACTTTAACATTTCTTATAATGATAATAATCACATCCATTTCCCCAATAACTTTGAGAAACAATTGTAATTTTTATTACTCTAGTTATTTAAAATAATAAATTATATTTCTAAGTTTTTGACTTTATATAAAAGCGAGATAATGACCTAAAGATAACAGCTAAAGTAGTGTAGAGAAAGAGTTTAGAGTAGGCAGGTATAAAGTGTGTCATCAGATATCCAAAAAGGAGGTTTTGATAGATCACAAAGATTTTTATAACTGCTTAACAAATATACATACATAATCTCATTCTATATATTAGGTAGTCCTAGTAAGAACTAATGAACACACAATCAGCAAAATCTTTAGGGTCAAATCTCTGTTTCCTATCAAGAGTTTTTTCCTTTTGTTCACCATAAACAGATATATGAACATGTTTTTGATTCTAACAATTGTGCATTTGTTCAAAACAGTAATGGTTGATCTTTAGTTCTTGTAAGATGTTGCAGACTGTCCCCATGATGGGAAGACGAGATCCAATTCCCCAGTATGATGCTTCTTGGATTGGATAAGTCTCGTTTGTAGCAGTTCTCATTACCGCATGGCTTCCATCTTTCCCCTTTGATGCATGCTGCATTAGTAGTTATGTCATTGCAGAAAAAGCACAAAACCAATCCTGCATATGGAAAAAAAATACATTTACCATTCATAACATATATCAATAAAGACATTGATCAATAACTATAAATAATATCATGTATACAATTGCATGTATTCAGTCAATAAATATAATCTACCAAAATGCAAGGCTAAAATAACCACAACAAAAAGTAAAAATGAAAAAAGTTTGCATACCTAAGAATGACGAAAGGGTAATAAACTTCAACTTTTGTCAATCAATCAGTATATCAGTTGCAATATAATCATGAACAATTGGGGGTAAATAGTGGTCAATCTGCAAAACAAAAAATCACAAGGCAAGTCCTAGATTGTCGTGGCATGAATGAAAGGCTAATAGACCATAAAAGGAAATAGAAACCGGCCACTAAGTAGAAACTTACATAACATAAAATGCAAGTTACATCTTGCTAAATCCTCTTCTTTCCTACTTCACTTTTTGTGCTGTATATCCCAAAAGAAACAAATAGTGAAGCTTGTAAAAGTCGTCATGTTTTCACAAGTTCAATCTTCTTCATATACCTCCTATTGCTGGTTAAGTTCAACTGCCATGGCCAATCTCCTTTTTTTCCCTCTGCTATTCCTAAGATAATTTGAACAATGTAAATCAAAAAACAAGTGGGAGGTGGTATGGATGGAGATGGACTTGGACATAAGCAAAAACACTAACCTTAAAACTGATAGCTCCCTATATCATTGAGAAAAAAAAAAAAAAAAGCTTATAAATTTGAAAGAAAATAGGATTAAGGGCCCGTTTGGTATAACGGTTTTTGGGTAGTGGTTAACAGTTTTACTTAAACCGCTAAATATAGGTATTTGGTAAATTTATATATTTCGAAACCGCTACAAATAAAGTATTTGGTAAAAGTTTAATTTAGCGGTTTGAAACTAACGAACAGCGGTTAGTGTCCAAACCGCTAGCGGATTGAAAAAGCTAGTTTATGTAGCTTTTTATATCAAACCGTTAGCAGATTAAAATTTTTTAATTTTATTGACAAATTTATCCATTTTCATTTTTTAATTTGTGGTCATATTTTTTAATTAATAATTATCTAATAAATTTCAATTTTGTTTTTTTACTTTTAATAACATTAAGT